TAATAAGGCTAAAAGCCTAATGTTAATGTTCATGGAAGATAGTTTAATCAAAATTTTTGAAAACTATAATACGGCTAAGGAAATGTGGCTTGCGGTTAAGGAGAAGTATGACACTACCTCTGAGGTGAACATACAACTCTTAATGCATAGGTTCAATTCATGTCATATGCAAGAAGGTGACAATGTTACCAAACATGTGAACAAGATGATTGTCATGACTAAGGACCTAGCTTTAGTAGGATCTGAAGCAGTAATCAAATCAAAGCAATGGATTTCATACAACATAAGCTAGGCAATAGTCGAATACGTCTGAATGATCGTGGGAGCTTCCCTAGTTAGCAACGGAACAAGATTTACTAGCTAGGAGAAAAGGTTCAGATGTGAACCTTGTGCAGCAAGAAGAAGCAAATGCAGCTCACTATCGCAAGGCACAAGGAACTCATCAGTTTGGACCTGTCAAGCCTTCCTTCAAAGGACCTGGCCAGCAACGTGCTCGCGATAAGAAAGGACCTCCTGGATCATGCTATATCTGTAGGAAGTTCGACCACTTTAAAGCCAACTGTCTATAGGCGAAGAACAAGGACGGTCCCAAACGCCCAGAACAAGGAGGATCCGGTAAGCGGGAGTTCATCGGCGTCATTGAGTGCAATGCTGCAACTACTGACGCTGATGGCTGGTGGATTGACTCGGGAGCTACCCGGCATATTGCAAAGATGAAAGAAGGGATATGCGACTTCAAGGAGCTAAAGAAGGGAGATCAAAGGATTTACATAGGGAACAATACCTACCTAGATGTTGAAGGTATTGGTTCGTACAGATTGGATCTTGGGGACAACATCATGGTTCTCAAGGAAGTGTTTTATGCACCTGGCATAAGACGTAATCTGATCTCCGTCCCAGTCCTCCTGAAGAAAGACCTTGAAGTTAGGTTTTACAATAATAGAGTTTCTATTGGGAAAGACAAGAAAGTGTTTGCTATGGGCAAGTTTGTACCCGAACATGATTTGTTCTGTCTTTCTGTTATAAAACCTAAAATTTACAATAAGAATTCTGATTTGCTTTATTCCTTGTGTCTTTTATCTGATTTTGATCTATGACATATGAGACTAGGACACTGGTAATAGAAAGATAGATCAGATAATTAAAATGGATTTGTTACCAAATCTGACAGGTGTAAGGACATTACCCTGTGAACATTGCTTAACAGGGAAAATGATTAGAAAGTTATTTTCTGAAGGTCAGAGGGCAAGTGAACTTTTAGAGTTAGTTCATTCTGACATTTGTGGTCCGTTAAGCGTAAAGACACGTGGTAATAAAGAATATTTTATAACTTTCATAGATGATTATTCCAAGTATACTTTTGTGTATCTTTTAAACAGAAAATCAGAAGCATTTGAATGTTTTAAAAGATACAAGACAGAAGTAGAAAGGAAACTTGGAAGATATATTAAGGTGTTAAGAACTGTAGAGGTGGAGAATTTAATTCAAAGGAATTTGAAAACTATTACATTCATTGTGGTATTAAGAGACATACCACTATGCCTTACACGCCACAACAGAATGGTGTGGCTGAAAGAAAAAATAGAACATTGATGAATGCAGTAAGATGTATGTTGTCACATTCTGATCTCTCCAAGGATTTTTGGGGAGAAGCAGTATTAACTGCGAATTATATTTTGAATAGGATTCCCACAAAATTAGTCAAGTCAACACCGTATGAGATTTGGAATGGACACAAACCTGAATTAAGTCACTTAAGAAAATAGGGTTGTGTTGCACATGTTCTCATTCCATATCAAATTAGAGATAAGCTGGATCTCAAAACCTTAAAGTGTAGATTTGTAGGCTATTCTGAAAAATCTAAAGGATATAGGTTCTTCCATGAAGAGAAAGGAAAGTAGAGATGCTACTTTTCTAGAAAGTCTAGAGGAAATGAAACAAGTTCAAGAGGCAGTACAACCTCTGCTAGACTTAGATGATGTTCCCAACGATGACCTGAATATAATGGATGAAGTAAATCATCCAATAATAGAAGATGAGCCCTTAAATGAGAATATGCCTATGGTAAATCAACCAGCTGAACCTATCCAACCTGTTATTCTTAGCGGTGATAAAAGACCCAGAACAACACCTGCATGGATGGATGATTATTATCTGTATTCATGCGAACCATCCTATTTCTCGGTAGACATTGACATAGATGAGCAAGCTGATCCCTTGAATTATGTGGATGCTATGAACACACATGAATCAGAACAATGGCTGGAAGCCATGAAAAGGGAGCTTGACTCAATAGAGAGAAACAATGTATGGGAGCTATGTGACTTACCAGAAGATAGGAAGTCCATAGGATGTAAATGAGTGTTAAAGAAGAAATATCGGGTTGATGGGTCTATTGATACATTTAAAGCTCGATTAGTTGCTAAAGGCTTTACTCAGAAGGCAGGTATAGATTATCAGGAGACTTATTCTCCGGTGGCTAAGTTTGCTTCAATTAGAATTATCTTAGCAATTGTTGCACATCTTGACTTAGAACTTTTCCAAATGGATGTCAAGACTCCATTCCTCAACGGAGAGTTGAAAGAAGTAATATATATGAATCAACCTGGGGGATTTCAGATTGAAGGACAGGAAAACAAAGTATATAAATTAAAGAAATCTTTATATGGTTTAAAACAGTCATCTAGACAGTGGTATCTCAAATTTCACAATACTGTTATCCAACTTGGTTTTGTTACAAATAAATTGGATAACTGTGTATATGTCTTGAAGAGTGACAGCAGTTTCACAATATTATCTCTGTATGTAGATGATATTTTGCTTGCTGGAAATGACATAGAAGTGCTGAACAGAATCAAATCAGCACTTAGTAGTGAATTTGAGATGAAGGACATGGGAGTTATATCCTATGTTCTTGGTATACAGATACTTAGGGATAGAAAGTCTAGAATGTTAAGTCTAAATCAAGAAAGGTATTTGCATACGATACTTAGAAGGTTTGGGATGCAGAATTGTAATCCTACGCCAACACCTTTGATTATGGGAAAGAGGTTGTGTAAAGAACAATGTCCTGAAGAAGGGCAGAAATCACTTGGTGTCCCGTATGCACAAGCTGTTGGAAGCTTGATGTATGCAATGTTGTGTACAAGACCAGACCTGACATATCCGGTGAGTTTGTTTAGTAGATATCAAAGTAATCTTGGTCCAGTACATTAGGAGGCTATTAAGAGGATTTTGAAGTACCTGAAAGGTACTGTGCACCATAAGTTAGTTTATCAAGCAGACTCGCTTGAGGTTCTTGGTTACTCTGATGCTGATTTCGGAGGAGACAAAGATGACCGAAAGTCCACTTCCGGACATTTGTTCATTTTTGATGGTGCAGCTGTTTCTTGGGGTAGTAAGAAACAGGGATGTGTGGTAAGATACACACAAGAAGCTGAGTACATAGCCTGTAGTATGGCCTCTACTCATGCAGTCTAGATAAGACGGTTCCTAAAGGACTTGGATCTCAATTTGGTGGATGGACCAATTGAGATATACTATGATAATCAAGCAACCATCAGCTTGATCAACAGTGGTGCAAACAGTTCTAAAGGAAAACATATTGAGATACAATATCATGATATTTGTGATATTGTGGAAAAGGAAGAAGTCTGTGTGACTTATATTCCTACTAGTGACATGATTGCTGATCCCTTGACGAAGGGTATCCCAGCAGGTACATTCATCAAACATGTTAGTTTGATGGGACTTAGAAATGTCTAAGTCAATGAAACTTTCATGAATAATGAAAGGAGACAATCATGGATAATAGTTGTACTCAATTTATTCACGAAGAGTGAAAAATGTATATATCTTACGAATAGTGGGAGTATGAAATTACATCTTGAGGAACATCCCACGGATAGTGAGAGTGTGCTTGGAAAATATTTGGCCATTTCGGCTAAGTGGGAGATGTAAGTGGTTTTGACCTCATGGGCCAAATTGTTACCCGACCCATTATAGACCTCAACCCGTTTTGTTGGGAATATCCCACGTTCTGGGATTTCTTCCGTTGGAGAGAACGGGTCTTATGGAGAGTTTGGTTTTAGAGAGATAATGGGCAGATTTTTTAGGGACGCAGGTGGAGAGAAAACGTCCATAAATAGAGATGAGTTCTTCTCATCTAAGGATAACAATCTCCATCGGAGTCCCAAAAACAATCGCTCTCTCATTCCTTCAGTTCATCACGGTGCATCAAAGTGGAGCTAAGGGAAAAGCCATGACTGTCTCTGTTAACTTTGAATTTGTATAGCCTCCTAGTCACTGGAATTCCTGTTCAACTTCTGTCAATCTTTAGAGCTTTTATAGTTTATATAATCTGTTAGCCCACAAAGTTAAGCTTTTGGGTAAGTGGTTCAGTGGCATTGTGTCAGAGAGCTAATTGGTAAATGGTTTAGGGGTTCAAACTTCAAATTACTCCATGAATATATGTTTAAACAAATAATCATCATATTTTCTTGCATGTGAGGACGGTTACACATTGTTTGGAGAACTTGGTTTATTTGTTCCATACTTGGATCAAAAATTATGAAGGTAACCACTTCTCCCCTATACAACTCTTCAGTTTTATTAGCTAGCAGGTTTACACTTTAGATAATTGGATTTTCATCATTAGAAAGCATCGTTGTGTCTTCAAATAATAATGATGTCACTCAAAAGACGAGCAAACCAGTCCCTTGGATCTAGTTTAAATGCTTGGTACCAAAGAACATTTTTCAGGTTATTCTCAATGAAAGAAACTAAACAAAAAGAAGAAGAATACATACTACACTGAGCTTCTTTCTGTCTTAAGCATGTATAGTTTCATTATTATAAACCTTTACAGGGGTACTACTAGTCTGACTATGATTAAAATGTCCAGGGAAGGCAGAAGCAGATGTTATTGTTATTGGGAGTGGTATAGGTGGACTGTGTTGTGCTGGACTTTTAGCTAGATACAAGCAAGATGTTCTTGTCCTAGAAAGTCATGATCTTCCTGGTGGTGCTGCACATTCATTTGACGTAAAGGGTTTCAAATTTGACTCGGGACCGTCTTTATTCTCTGGATTTCAGTCAAGAGGCCTTCAAGCAAATCCTCTTGCACAGGTGAAATTCTTGAGTTTTATGTATATCAATTGTCATAAGTAGATAGGGACATCAAGTAAACCAAAACAGGGGACTGTCAATCAAATTGTATCTGCAAAGTGCCTAGTCTTGAGTCACACACACACTTGCGCACACGAAGTGGGTGCATGTGTGACTACGTGGGTGTGGAGTGCCACTCTTTGTTAACCATTGAAGTATAATTATTATTTAAGAACTAAATTAAGTGGTAAAACAGCTGCTAGGATTTTCTTTAATCATTTTGCTTTTGTGGCAAATATATAGGCAGAGTTATAAGATGATTCTACTTTAACCCATGAGAAGAAAAAAGTCATTCAAGGATGGCTCCTCAATCCTTTCATAATTATAATTGTATTAGACTTCATAGCCGTTGATGGCAGACATGGGTGACATGTAAAAAGATAATGTATCTCTGAATGTGCACGCTCACGAGTGTGTTTGTGTGGCTTCTTTCAGAAGTATCTGGCATGCAACCATTTCACTTCGAATTGGAAAATGCACACTGCAAGCTAAAATCCACATAAGCTTGACATGATCATGACAATCTAGAAATAAAATTTTCAAGTGTCTTTAACAAGGTTTTCCTATGCATCATGACATCAAAAACCTAATGTTTTAAAACATTGTGAAATTGTTTAATTTATGATCATTTTAAATGCATGGGTAAAACTTGTCAAAAGTTCGTGAATTTTGTTCTGTAGGATTTATGGTTATGAGCTAGCAACTCATTTTGTTAAATAAGCTACCATGAGATAAATGGTAGGCAAAATCTGCAAGCGCACAGACTCGTTGTAGCTATCAAGGTCGATCCCACAGGGACTAGGGGTTAATTATCAAATTTCACGTTATTCGACTAGCTAAACTAATGAGTAAATTAGAAGAGATGAAAATTAAAAGAAATAAAATAATAACTAATCAGGTGGAATTCAATATAATGAAGAGACAGAATTTGGTAGGCAAAATCTGCAAGCGCACAGACTCGTTGTAGCTATCAAGGTCGATCCCACAGGGACTAGGGGTTAATTATCAAATTTCACGTTATTCGACTAGCTAAACTAATGAGTAAATTAGAAGAGATGAAAATTAAAAGAAATAAAATAATAACTAATCAGATGGAATTCAATATAATGAAGAGCCAGGATTGAGTTATCACCATAACTTCGATGCTCAATGATGAATTATTTCAGTTCTCGGTGTTGGTTTAAACTAAAAAGGGTGAATTAACCTAAATTAATCTAAAGCCTCTTTTAAGGTCTAAAAATCGTGCCTAATTAATCTCAATTAACCTACTTTCGTGGAATCAAGATTAAATTAAACTCATTAAGCTTCATGCTAATCCAAATCAAATCCCCAAGGAATCTAGCCTACTTTCGTGGTTCGAGCTCCCTGCTTAATTTCTAGATATCCGGTATTAATCTTCACCTTTCAGTCCTTCAATTAATTACCTATGATTGCTAATACGGTGATCAAGGAAATCAACAAAATTAAAACACTAGAAATCAAGTTTAAAGATTTAAACTTTCACCAAGAACCTATATCAATTCATCATCAATCACCAAAAAGTTGGGTTTTTTCCCAATCCTAGACAAGAAATCTACTCACACATGATTGAGATAAGAGAATACATCAAATAATTATGCAAATCAATCATAAGAAAAAATAAATCAAAGAGAGGAAAGAATTAACCCGTCTTTCAATTAAAATCTCCAAAATTAAAACTTGCAATCCAATCTTGTACAAGAAATTAATGCCTTTCTTCAATGCTTGAACTCTAAAATAATTGCTAATTGATGGCTAAGAGAACATAACAAAAGATATCCAAACCCTAAGCCAAAATATCTATTTATATGTCCCTAAAAAATCTGAAAAAAGATAAGGTCCGCACCATGGGTGTGGCGCGCACTACACCAGGGTGTGGTGGAATCTGTTTTTGCTGATTTTGTACTTGTTTGTTCAGTTTTCGATATTTCGGCTATAACTTTTGCGTCCGACCTCGGAATGAGGTGATTCAAGTTGCATTGGAAACATGTTGAAGAGATCTATAACTTTTATCTTTTTAGTTTTTTTGAATTCAAATTGCATCATGGTCGAAATTCCAGTTCTTCATACTCGTGCATCCATTTTCTTCACGAACCATGCATTCGAAATCTTGTTGTTGCTTCAAACTCTTGTTTAACTTCCAACGATCATTAAATCTTTCAATCTTGAGCCAATACCTACATATAAGAACACAAACAACAGCAGTATCCTCGATCTAAACACGAAATATGCATTAAACACTCGTAAATCATGCTTGAAACACACTAAGATAATGTATATTTTACGTGTTTATCAACTCCCCCAAGCTTAGACTTTTGCTTATCCTCAAGCAAATAAACAATAAAAATTAGGAGTGAAAGCCTAATAGAGTAGGGATCACCCCCTCATCAATCCTTTAACCAATATCAAATATATCACAAGACAAATACGTTTCATCGGGACTTAACAAAGTAATTTTTAAAACTCTCAACAAATCACATTTTAAACTTTATTTACGATCACAAGCGTCACAAGTCAAGGATAGCCATCCTATCCAATTCTCAAGTCAGAGTAGAAAAAAGAAATTCATGTAACTAGCTTCAATCCCCAAGTACTAAAATTGAGACCTTCAGGTAGTTAAATTGGTAGACCTCACTTTAGGATAAGTGGACTCTCAATCTCTCATGTGTTTAAGGATGGGATTGTATCGCTCAAAATTCTTCCGAATGGAATGTATTCAATCCATAAGCTTGCATTTCATCTCAATTCTCCACCACTTCGAAAACTAATGCATGCAACAAAATCATGAGGTCTTTTATTTGGTTGTAATGGGGGCTAGGGTCAAAAGGGTAGGATAGATATTTGGGATTGGTTGAAAGCCTATCACTAGTGGAGCGATAATTAAAAAAGATTAGATCTCAAAGTAAGATCAATGACATCCACACAAACTCCATCATCTATCAAAGAACTTCTTTCAACTACTCCTTTTAGTATGCCATAATGAATTCTTTCGACACCCGCAATTACATTCACCATAAAGAGGAAACTTTATTCATTTTTTTTTCTGAATTCAATTTGTTTTTGTTTTTGCTTTTTTTGAAAGAATTATGAAAAGGAAGCAAACACCTACTTTCACACCCCCAAGCTTACACCACATTACTCACATAACCCATAATTATGAAAAGGAAGCAAACACCTACTTTCACACCCCCAAGCTTACACCACATTACTCACATAACCCATTATATCATAAAATGTGCTCCACTAGCTTGTCACACCCCCAAGCTTACACCACATTACTCACATAACCCATTATATCATAAAATGTGCTCCACTAGCTTGGGCAATGGGTAAGGAATAGAATCGGGTTTTGAAGGTTACATATGTGGGTTTAATCAACAAAAATTAGGCTCATAGGATCAATGGGGCTAATCAAAGGGAACAATAGTGCATGGTAGGCTATTTGGCTAATGTGGACTATAAACAAAAATATGTCTCAATCACCTTTTATGCATACAAAAGTTATATGTGGCCTTGAATAGATTCAATGCAACTTCTAGTATCCTACACCATTGGAGAATATCACACAAGAAAAGAAAATAATGATTGGATATGTAATGCATCCAATTTCAGACTCAAGATCTCACCGGTTTTATTTGTCTACCAAATTTAATTTCCCTCTTGTCTTAATAGAGTAATAGTTATGATGCTAGCCACATAAATGCTAAATCCTATAAGATAAGAGAACATTCAAGTCTGGTTCTCCCATATTGTTAACTTGTAATCAAAAGCCTTTGAGAATCAGTTGAAAGATGGTATAAGAAGTTACCAAGTCCCGACTAATGAGCATCTATCTAGTTCAATGATCGATAAAGGTTAATGATTCATGTCATCATCAGGAGATCATTTCCCTATTTTGTTTTTTTTTAAGGAGAAACAAAGCAAAAGAAAAACTAAAATAAAAGAAAAATAGGCAATTATAGACAGGCAACCAATGAATGAACAACCCACATCCCCAAGCTTAAGATCTACATTGTCCTCAATGTAATAAGATAGAAATTAGTGCAAGGGTGCAGAGGACATACCAACTCACTGGTCAGAAGGAGGCGGTGCGAAGGCATCCTGTTAGAGCTGCCGCTCGTGAAAAGACTACATCATGTAGTGTATAGAGTCTAGTAGTTATCCTTGACGTTGTTGCTCTTGCTCGATGGCACCTACACGGTTAGTAAGGGAGGCAAGAGAAATATGTATAGCTGATAATTTCGCTGACCAATCAGGGTGATGGAAAGAGCTAGTTCCCCTGGTAGGCCCAGCCTGAATAGGGATCAGGGGTACCGTGTCAGCATCCTCAGCTGGTACAACATCGTGACCATCACAATTCACAAAATCAGATGTGAGGTAGGACCAATTGGCGTGAACATGGATGGTCATGCGATCAGGATCAGGGAGTGGGAAAAGATAATTGTCCTGAAAACATAACCATAACCTATTGCCTTTATTACTAATCAATTTCATATGTAGACAAACATCGAGGTTAATGGACGCACTAGGGCTTAATGGATGAAGACCCTCTACAAGCTCCCCTAAACTCATCCTGTAAGCTAAAGTGGTAATCAAGTCACCTAACACAATTTTCCCACTCGTTGCTCTCGCTGCACGACACATATGATGAATCATAAAAGCTCCTGTATCAACCTTATGTCCCTCAACCATGGCACATAAAAGGTATAGCTCTCTCTGACACATGACTCCATCACTCTCGCCTCGACCAAAAATGGTGAAAGCCATGAACCTCTGTAAATATCTAAAACATGGGTTATAAACATCAGAGGCTCGTGACAAAGAGGGATCATAGGTTCTTTGAGTGGTAGAGCGTGCGATAGAAATCCAAAAGGGGGTCAAGTTAAAAATTTTAGGAACAATTCTAGCCCCACCCTCCGGAAAACCAAATATCAGGTTTAATT